GGTCTTGAGCATGCAAGGCAAGTGCTCTACCACTGAGCCACCTTCCCAGCCCTACCCTCTTTTTGTTTTTGAGACCAGGACTTGAACTTAGTATCTGACGCTTTCATTCATTGACTGGTACTCTACCAACCAGAGCCAAACCTCCGACTTGATTCCTTATTTGGGCCCTTGAATTAACTAAAAGCAAGGAGAAGAGCTTGGTATCCCTGTCTTCATTTTGTATCTTTGGACTAAGCTGTTCTCTTGGTAATTATTTTGTAACCACCTTGGAATCCAAAAATGAAAAAAACAAACAAACAAACCAACAACCCTGACATCACTAATCAATAATATCTTTATGACAAAGGATCGAAACTACCCCTAATAAACAACAGAGCCTCCTCAGGCCAGGCTACCCACCAGGCAAGATGACCTACTTATCATGAGCAGGGATAATAGCAGTAATACCTCCTCCAGAACTCTTCCCAAAACAAGAGCTGAAATAATGACTAACCAGGCCATCTCTAGACCAGGACTGCTGAATAATTATGCATACCTTTCTCTCTCTGCCAGGAGTTATCTCTAAAACCTAAAGCTCAGTCAGGCCCCAGTGGCTCATGCCTGTCATCCTAGCGACTGAAGAAGCTGAGATCTGAGGCTTGTGATTCCAAACCAGCCTGGACAAGAAAGTCCATGAGACTCTTTTTTCCAACTAACTAGCAAAAAGGCCAAGCTGGGCACCGGTGGCTCACACCTGTAGCTCTGAGGATCACAGTTCAAAGCCATCCCAAGCAAGAAAGTCCATGAGACTCTTACCTTCAATAAACCACTAGAAAACCGGAAGTGGTGCTGTGGCTCAAGTGGTAGAGTGCTAATCTTGAGCTGAAGAGCGGAGGGACAGCACCCAGGCCCAGGGTTCAAGCCCCACAAGCAACATTTAAAAAAAAAAGGGGGGGGGAAGCCACAAGTAGAGCTGTGGCTTAAGTGGTAGAGTACTAGCCTTGAACAACAAAGCTCACAGACAGTGCCCAGACCTTGAGTTCAAGACCCAGGACTGGCTCAAAACAAAATCTAACAAGCAGACAAAAAGCAAAGCCAAAAACCTAAAGCTCTTATCTATAGCCCAAAGAAGGATGAAGAGCAACCGAAGTGCTATCTTCCTGTGGTATATCCAGACCAAGAACTAAATCTCCCTTCTCTGTCTCTTTAGTCAATGTATTAAGGGGTACGTAGCCAGACCTGACATGTGGAAATCCTGGAGTCTGAGTGCCAGGTATAACACTCTGGTTTCAATTACGGGTAGGGCATGGGGTAAACATTGTGGCTGTGTCTTGGAGCAACCCAGAGAGCCTGACTTACTTGGTGAGGAGTAACAGAATATTAGTAAGAGGGCAAAGCAGAGGCTCCTCAGGGAAAAGGAAGATGGTGAAGAAAAATGTGGGTTTTCCACAATGGGAAACAAACCTGGAACCAAGAAGCCTCCTCTAAGCTATAAGCTGGTGTTTCTCATCACCCCCAGCTTGTGGAAAATTCCAGTCAGGAGGCATCCAACACACACCTGGGCCAGCTATTCATCCATTCTTGAAGTTGCCCTGGTGGACCTGGGCCAAGGGACCCTCAGGAGGAAAATGAGGAGACAGAATTGTACTCTTAGCCAGGAACTGATCACTCACATCTGTGATCTTAGCTATTCAGGAGTCTATGATCTGAGAATCTCAGTTCAAAGCTACCTAGGGCATACAAACCAGTGAGACAGAGAGAGAGAGAAAGAGAGAGAGAGAGAGAGAGAACCCCTTATGTCCAATTAGCTACCAAAAAAAAAAAGCCAAAAGTGGAGTTGTGGCTCAAGTGATAGTTATCTGCTCCACTCTAACTAGGTTTGTTTTCCTAGGCCCATCAGAGCCCAAAACACTGTAACAAGAGTTGTGTTTTCTTCTCCTCTCTTCCTGGAAGGGAAACCACAACTTCACAGTTTCTATTCTGGAATCATTGCCTTCTGTTTCTCTCTCAGAACTCCTCTAGGTAAGTGCTGGTATTTGCATCCAGGATGAAAACCAGAGGTTTAAATGTATGCTGGTCCATGCAGAGCAAGGCAAAAATCCAACCTGGCTGACTCCAAGCCAGCAGCAGCCAGAGACTCAAACCTTGCTGCAAACATGCCACTTCTTGACCTCTTCCTGTACCAGCCATTAAGAAAAGCATAGGTCCGGCAGCTCACACCTGTAATGCTAGTTACTCAGGAGACTGTGATCTGAGGATCCTGGTGATGGAAAATGACAAAAACTCAAAACAGTCACCTTTTCCCTGACAGACATAAAACTGCCCTTGCTGGGGCTGGCAAGATGGCTCAGTGGTAGAGTGCTTACCTCCTCATGCATGAGGCCCTGGGTTCGATTCCTCAGTACCACATAAGCAGAAAAGCTGGAAGTGGCGCTTTGGCTCAAGTGGTAGAGCGCTAGCCTTGAGCTGAAGAGCTGAGGGACAGTGCCCAGGCCCAGAGTTCAGACCCCACAATGGACAGGAAAAAAAGGAAAACTGCCCTTACTGCAGACCTCACTGAACCTAAATCATCTCCCACCCTCCTTCCCTCTCCCCAAACAAAAACTTTCCTAACACGTGGTTTCAGCCCAAATGGGACAAGAAAAATCCATAAAATGCTTATCTCCAATTAACCAGCCAAAAGCTAGATGTAGAAGTATGGCTCAAGAGGTAGAGCACCAGCCATGAGTGAAAAAGACAAGGAACAGTGCCTAGGCCCTGAGTTTAAGTCCCAGGACAGACAGACAGACAGACAGACAGACACACACACACACACACACACACACACACACACACCCCAAAAAGAAAAAAAAAAAGAAGAAGAAGAACAAGATGAGAAGACAAAGGAGCCTGTCTGGAGGCAGATTCGAAAGGCAACAGACCTAGAAGCAAACAACGGGTTAAATGTCATGGCTTTATCCATTACCTTCCTCTGTGACCCCAGAGAGGATTTCTGCAAGATGTCCTCTGTGGGAGGAGTGCAAAACACCATAGCAACCAGCACTGAGAGAGGACTCTGCTAAGGACACTCAGCAGGTCACCTGCAAGTAGGAGCTGGGATTCGTGTGTTTCACGAACAGGCCAACACTGGTACAGCCTTGGTGAGACTGTAGGCATGCTATACCTCTCCTGGCCAGTTTCCCCAGCCAGGCCTTGGTGTCATCTTGTAACTCTGTCTCTTCTCTCACCCCCTGATCATTCCTCAGGTCAAACCCCGTAATAGATCTTAAATCTGTCACTCCCTCTCTGGTCTCTCTCTCCTGGATTATAATATCCGTATCCTAGCCCACAGCTGCAGGGTTGTCTCCATTCTATCCATCTTCCAGATCAGAAGGATCATTCTGGAAGACACACTTGCTCACCTGGCCCCATTATCTCTCAGGGTAAAGTGTAGCCTCCTTACCTTAGTTTCTCCTTCTTTTATCTGCCTCCTGCCCTCCCAGCCTCTTCCCCAGCCACTCAGGACACACGCCCTTTGCCTGCTCTTCCCTGAATGTACCCTGCTGGCCTGTCTTCCTAGAAGGTCCTTTCTCTGTGCTAACACCTGCCAGTTCTTTTGAAAAACTCAAGTGCCATCTCTTCCAGGAAACCTTCTCTGATACCCCAGTCTAACTTGCATGGCCTCTCCTTTGGGCTCCTGAGCCCCACTTTACTTTCTTCTATTGTAACACCTAAAGCTCTTGATCTTCATTTTCTCTTGCCTGTACTAAGTTCCCAGACAGATAATCAAGCAGCAATGACCAAGCACCCAGCACTGCGTTTGAAAGATTCCAGGGATTTGCGCATAGAAGAAAGAATGGGTGTCTTTCTGTACACAGAGGCCTAATCATGACTTTGCAGACCTCCATGAATTAGGTATTTGCAAATCTGTGTGCCTAAGCTTGTTTACTAAAGGAGCTGATCCTTCTGCTTTGACCATGGAGTCCTATGTGGTCACAGTGAACTTTCTCTACCCTGAACACCCATTACCACAAATGATTGGTGGGTCCTGGAAGCAGTTTTACAGCCCCAGTGTAGGGCAGGGTAAGAGAGGGCAGCCAGAGGTCCTTGGGCTCCAAGACCTCCAGCTGCTGGTGGAAGGATGCTGGAGTTTGTGTGACGGCAGAGTCTAGATGGTCCACCACCCCCTACAATCCTCTAAACCCTGATAGTTCTTCCCTTGGTTGTTGAAAAGCTCAGTCTTGTGAAATGGGTTTGGTTTCAAGTCTCTGGTCACTGGTCTACTTATTTAAAAAGTATGCCCCTGGGGCTGGGAAGGTGGCTCAGTGGTAGAGCACTTGCCTTGCATGCCTGAGGCCCTGGGTTCAATTCCTCAGCACCACATAAGCAAAAAAGAAAAAACCAGAAGTGACACTGTGGCTTGAGTGGTAGAGCGCTAGCCTTGAGCTGAAGAGCTGAGGGACAGCGCCCAGGCCCAGAGTTCAAGCCCCATGACCGGACCCAAAAAAAAAAAAAAAAAAAAGTATGCCCCTGCCAGGCACTGGCAGTTTGCACTTGTAATTCCTAGCTACTGAGGAGGCTGAGATTTGAGGACTGTAATTCAAAGCCAGCTCAGGCAGGAAAATCCATGAGACTTTTATCACCAATCATCAGCAAAAAGCCAGAAGTGGACTTATGGCTAAAGTGGTAGAGCACACTAGCCTTGAGCAAAAAAAAAGCTCAAGAACAGTACCCAAGCCCTGAGTTCAAGCCCAGGGACGGCTACCAAAAAACAAGCAAACAAAAATGCCCTAGTTGTTTGCATAGCTGATCTAGAAGGTTCATGCAGTCAGCCCCCATGTGCAGAAGACCGGGGCTTGGGGGGGGTGGGGGGTTGGAATTGAGGAGGAGGGCACTTGCTCTGTGTTATTTCTTCCAGAACGTTCAAGATTTTCAAGGTAAGCTGAGGGAAGAGAACCAGTTGAGCTCTGGGCCCCTCTAGCAATGACACTGGAAGGCATTAGGTCCCTTCTTCCAAAACTCTGTTTCTTTTTCCCCCTCACCTTCAGATCAAAGTGAGCAATTTTCTTTGTGTGGAGGTAGTTCACCCCATCCAGGATCTGCTTAATGAAGCTGGTAGCCTCCTCCTCACTCAGCGATTCCTTCTGGGCCAGGAAATCAAACAGCTCTCCTCCAGAGACTCTGTAAGACACAGGTGGACAGAGCCAGGCCCAGTCAGCACAGCAAGTCAGGAGGCCAGGGTGATGGGCGTGGCCACTGTGCTTGGCCACGCCCCCTTCCCCAGGGCTCCACAGCAGAGGGCCCCTTGGCTCTGTCTAGGGCTTTACCAACTGATAGTCAGGGGCTGCTTTTGCTTCTGTTGTGGTGTTCTTGCTTTTGGTTCTCAAAGACAGAAATCACCTGCAGGGTTCACATTATAGGCTCAGATCCCCAGTGACCCTGGACGTTACCCTCTCTCTGTACAGAGTAGGCTGTCCCCAGAGTCACTCCATTTTGGGAACAAATACTCAGGTGGAGTGACTCGGCATCTTGTTTGTATAAAGAACAACTATGAGCAGCCTGGCACCACCCTATGGCACAGACTGATTTATTTGTGTTAATAAAAAAAATTACCACCAAGCTGGGCACTGGCAGCTCACGCTTTTCATCCAGGAGAATGAGATCTAAGGATCATGGTTCAAAGCCACCCAGGGCAGGAAAACTAAAAGCTCAGGGACAGTGCCCAGGCCCTGAGTTCAAGCCAGGACCCCTCCTTCACACACACACATACACACACACACACACACACACACACACACACACCTGTGTGCTTATCAGATCTACCAGGCCAACAAATGATGCAGACTCAACTCAAGAGGCAGAAAGACTGCAGCGTAGGACCTCAGTCCACCAGTATCATGGACCCCTCTGGTATATGAATTGTGGCTTTTGCCCAGGAGATTGACAGATGACACAGTTCTGACTGTCCTGAATTCAGCTCAGAGCAATTTCCTCTGCTATGGCCTGCCTACTTCAACAGCCTACACCTTTCACAGCTTGGAGAGCAGCCCTTACTCAATGCCTGACCCCAGCATGACTCTTTGCATTTGCATTGACCCTTTATCATTGGCTCTTGGTGCTGTGCTTTTAAAACTTAAGAGTCTCTATCTTTTCTCCAGTCCTTCATAATATAGGTATAGTGTCAAGTGTGACTTAAGATTTGAATGTTACCAGTTAAGACTGGAGTAGAATTAAAAAAAACAAAACAAAAAAAAAACTGGTGATTGCTGTGATCCTAGCTATTTGGGAAGTTGAGATCTGAGGATCACAAGTTTGAAGCCAGCCCAGGTAGGAAAGGTCCAAGAGATTCTTAGCTCCTATTAACTACAACAGCAACAACAAAACCAAACAGAATTTGAACTGTTCCTTAAAGTGGTAGAGTAGGGACAGCACCCAGGCTGTGAGTTCAGGCCCCAGGTCTGGCACACACAAAAAATAATAACTTGCAATTGCTGTGCTTACAATTCCAAGTGAAACCAGAAGTACTTGATGAAGCAAAAGCTGAAGAAATTGCTGTCGTTTGTGAATTTATTGCTATTCATTCAATAAATTCTGACATTGCAGTAAGATACAAACATGTGTATGTGTATGACAGAGATTACTTATAACATCTCTCTATAACTGATATGGTAGAGAATGAAAAGAAACACTGGTGGGTAAAGCTAGAGTCAATGTTTGTATCCTCTGAAATTCATATTTTAAAATCCTAACTTCCAAACTGGTGGTCTAAGGAGGAGAGGCCTTGGGAAAGCAATTAGGTCCTGAGAGTGAAGCTCTCATGAATGAGATTAACGTCCCGATAAAACAGACCCCCTTGGGCTGGGAAGGTGGCTCTGTGGTAGAGCGCTTGCCTTGCATGCCTGAGGCGTTGGATTTGATTCCTAAGCAAAAACAAAAAAGCTGGAAGTGGCACTGTGGCTCAAGTGGTACAGCGCTAGCCTTGAGCTGAAGAGCTGAGGGACAGCGCCCAGGCCCAGAGTTCAGGCCCTACGACTGGACCTCCCCACCCAAAAAAAAAAGAGACCCTCCTTGCCCAGGTAGCTCATGCCTATAAGCCTAGCTACTCAGGAGACTGAGATTTGAGGATCTTGATTCAACGCCAGCTCAGGTAAGAAAGGGAAGTAAAGTAAATAAGTCTTCTATTTCCAATTAACAAAAAGCTGAAAGTGGAACTGTGGCTTCAGTGGTAGTGAAGGAGTTGCCTCTCCCCTTTGGCCAGATCATTCTGTGTATCTAAAGAATATGAAGAATTGACCCCCATCCTATTGTCCCAGGCCCATATAGATGCCAGGCAAAATCCTAGGTATGTGTGAACTTGTTTGAAGTGCTCGCAGGGCAATCTACCTAAGCCTAGCTGTAAGCATCCTAGTGTAGGCCCAACTGAAAAGCCCCCACTTCCCTTCCCCTACTGGCTTTTTCATTAACCTCTGCCTCCTTGCTCAGACCTCAGATAAAAACCCAGCTCCTGTCCCAACTCTCTGGCATAACCTCCAAACCCGTGGGAAGGTCCTCAATAAACAGTCCTAGCCTGTTGATGATGCAGTCCGGCCTATTCCTTGTCTGTCCTACCTTCCTCTTCCCAACAGTAGAGTACTAGCTTGGAGCACAAAGCTCAGAGTTCAAGCCCCAGGACCGAAACAAAAAAAATAAAACAAAAAATGAAGAAAAAAAAAAAGTGAGACACCTGTACCTTGTTAATTTCCATCAGAAGATAGTTATCTGTGAGGAAACCAGCCCTCACTAGACACTATGCTTCCAGAAGTATGAGAAACTAGTTACTGATTTTTGAGTTTTGGGTTTTTTTTTTTTCCCCCAGTCCTGGGGCTTGAACTCTGGGCCTGGTCACTGACTCTGAGCTCCTTTTGCTCATGGCTAGCACTCTACCACTTGAGCCACAGCACCACTTCTAGCTTTTTTTCGTTTTGTAATTAATAAGCTTTTTTTTTTTATTGTGAAAATATGGTACAGAGAGGTTACAATCACATGAGGAAGGTAATAAGTACATTTCTTATCAAGCATTGTTGCCTCCTCCTTTGTTTCCCCTTCCCATTCCTGCCCTCCCATCTTCCCCTCTTCTCCCATTTTTTTCTGTGATTAATTAGTGTCTCCAGACTTTCTTGCCTGGGTTGGCTTAGAACAGCAATCCTTAGATCTCAGCCTCCTGAGTAGCAAGGCTTACAGGCATGAGCCACCGGCACCTGGCAGTTTCTGTTTTTATAAGCCACACAATATGTGGTACTTTGTTATAGCGCAGTCTGAATGGACTAATTTTTCCTAAGTGGGGAGCTACTATAAGAAACATCTAAAAACATGGAAGTGTTTGTGGAACTGAGTACCAGGGCTACAAGGGTTGGGGGGTGCATGCCAAAAAAAGAAAAGTGCATGGAGAGTTCTACTGAGGGCTCAGGAGTTGAGGTAGAGATTTCCCACATTCTGAAAAGATACCTAAGTGACCCTGAACACAACATGGATGGTGAAGCCATTTGAATGATGTTTCAGGAGGAAATGAAGAGCATGGTGTGGGGGTGGGGGGGGTGGGGGGGGTGTTTGCCAATCAAGGCTAACACTCTACCACTTAAGCCACAGTGCCACTTCCAGCTTTTTCTATGTGTGTGGTACTGAGGAATCGAACCAGGTCTTCATGCAATGCTAGGCAAGCACTGTACATTCCCAGTCTGAGAGGAATGTTTAAAAAAGATGGAACTGTTTGTCAAAAAGGAAAAGAAACTAAAAGTTTGAAAACCAGACAGACAGAGACAGAGACAGAGAGACACCTGTTCCCGAGAGGTGTGACCAAGGATGAGTGGCTAGGGGAATCTCCAGAGAACCCAGGTGGCTTTCACCAAGACAATGGGGGAGATTAGTCAACCCAGTAAACAAAAGCCAGAAACTAGTGTCCAAGACAATGAGACAATGGCCTGAAGTCATTTCAGAGAATATAGAGGAAAAGGATGCAGGCATTCCCATCACCCATCCACCAAGCCTGGATCTGGGGGGTCAGAACGAGATCAAAGGAAGGAATCCATTACCTACTGCTGCCTCACCTTGGAGCCTCTGCCCAAAAAGTCTATTGTCACCACCCCTCAGCCATACAAGCTGTGGCTCCCAGAGATGCCTGGTGTGCCAAGCAAATCTTCTGAGGGGGGGGGGATCATTGCCTCCTGATCTCTCTCTCTCTCTCTCTCTCTCTCTCTACTTTCTCTACAATCTTGTCCTCTAAGGCTGATGTGACAGGAACAAGAATCCATAGAGTAAGTACTCTACCACTGAGTCAAACCCCCTGTCCTTTTGTTGTCGTTGTTGGTCATGGGGCTTGAACTCAGGGCTTGGGTGCTGTCCCTGAACTCTTTCTGCTCAAGGCTAGCACTCTACCACTTGAGCCACCGTACCACTTCCAGTTTTCTGGTGGTTCACTGGAGATGAGAGTCTCGTGGACTTTCCTGCCTGGGCTGGCTGGCTGAGTTCTCAGGTCTCAGCCTCCTGAGTAGCTAGGATTACAGGTGCGAGCCACCAGCACTCAGCTAGTCCTGCTTTTTTGATGAGTACTTTGGAGCTAGGGTCTCACTTCTTGCCTGGGTGTGCACTTGGACTGCTGGGCCCCAAGATCTGCCATGCCTCCCACTCAACTTGAGCTGGTATGGCCTGAAAAGGTTGCTGGGTTGGGGGCGAGACTGGCATGTTGGACAGTGACTCTGCTGTTTTCTTAAGGTCCCATGCATGAGGTCATCCAGTGCCCCGCCCCTACCGTGACCTGGGGCAGGTGCTGCCGGGGTTCCGTAGTCTCTCAGTAGGGAATGAGCAATCCTGTTATCACAAACACTTAGCCTTCATCTCTGGGGTAGAACACGTGCCAGTTTTTCTTGTGAAAGAAGGAGGGAAAGACCAATCTTCTCTCCCTTTCAGAGGGTGGGTGGCAGGGGAGGGATCGTGACACAACATTGGGGTATGTGATGAGGCCTTTGATAAGTCTTTAAAGTAAATACCACCTACTGCAGCAATGCAGGCATCTAGAGAAAGAACAGCATTGTTGGTGTTGTCCCAATAGAAATTAATGTGAATGTGAATGCCCCAATTCCTTGATTTTTTTTGGGGGGGGGAGTCTGGTCGTGGGGCCTGAACTCTGGGCCTGGGCGCTGTCCCTC